TGCTATTGGGTTGGAGGCCATTGCTATTGGGTTGGAGGCCATCGCTTGTAGGTTGGAGGCCATTGCTTCTAGGTTGGAGGCCATCGCTGGTTGGAGGCCAAGGCTAGTAGGTTGGAGGCCTTCGCTGGCAGGTTGCAGGCCACCGCTATTGGGTTGGAGGCCATCGCTTAGTAGGTTGGAGGCCATCGCTTTTAGGTTGGAGGCCATCGCCCTCAGGTTGGAGGCCAAGGCTAGTAGGTTGGAGGCCAAGGCTAGTAGGTTGGAGGCCATTGCTATGAGGTTGGAGGCCATTGCTATTAGGTTCCGTCAAGAATTGCTATAGATGACTTTGGACCTGTTCCGCTCAGGTCGTGGGCCGCCGCACTTCTGCGCAGCGAGTAGCGCACGTGCTTGTTTCACCCGACCAGCACAGCCCTGTCGGGCAAAAGAGACAAAGATCGGGGGCTTGTGGCAATCTACTTCTTCTGTGTACATTATATCTTTTGAAAGGCCATCCAGTTCAATGCGTCCCGCACCCTCGTGGACCCCATGACCAACGTGCGTCATAGACACCGACGCTGCCATGCCATGTGAGAGGAAGGCTAACCCTGGTCAGAAGCCTCCAAGTCGTTCAATGGTCCTTTTGCCATCGATCGATTCACCAAGTTACCGCTCGGCCCACCCGGCAATTTCCGAAAGTTGGGATGACAAAATCATCCTAAACTGGATCAAATCCAAGCAGCCCATAGCAGCCCGACGCCCTTCTTTCGTCCACCCCTTCCCAAACCCGCCACATCTCATGGGCGCCCAGAACATTGGCCCGACTGCGACGAGCAGTGCCGGACGGCAGCCTCCTCGGTGCCTCGCTTTGAAGGGGCCGGTGGTGTCGGCCGTTGGGGGTGCGGCGGAGCCTGACACGGGTTTTACAAGATTTGATAGCATTTGACGCGCCTGCACGGAGCACAACTGCTGGAATGCTTGCCGCAAGCATGAGTGGCAAAAGCATTAACCACTGAAGCAACACCACAAACACGGATTGATAAATTACAGTAATGGGATCAGGCGTATTGTGTCATCCAATGGAACTCATATTTTTCTAGGATTTTTTCGTTTTTTTTTGGGGATTTTTTTTCACGTTTAGGCATTAGGTATCTCTGTTGGCTTCTGGTGGCTTCTGGTAGCTTTTGCTAGCTTCTGTTGGCTTTTGCTGGCTTCCGGTGGCTTTTACTGGCTTTTGGTGGCTTTTGTTGGCTTCTGTTGGATTTTGGTGGCTTCTGGTGGCTTCTGGTGGCTTCTGGTGGCTTTTGGTGGCTTCTGGTGGCTATTTTGTTGGCTTCTGGTGGCTATTTTGTTGGCTTCTGGTGGCTTTTGGTGGCTTCTGGTAGCTTTTGCTAGCTTCTGTTGGCTTTTGCTGGCTTTTGTTGGCTTCTGGTGGCTTCTGGTAGCTTTTGCTAGCTTCTGGCGGCTTTTGCTGGCTTCTGGTGGCTTTTACTCGCTTTTGGTGGCTTTTGTTGGCTTCTGTGGGATTTTGGTGGCTTCTGGTGGCTTTTGTTGGCTTCTGGTGGCTTCTGGTAGCTTTTGCTAGCTTCTGGCGGCTTTTGCTGGCTTCTGGTGGCTTTTACTCGCTTTTGGTAGCTTTTGTTGGCTTCTGTGGGATTTTGGTGGCTTCTGGTGGCTTTTGTCGGCTTCTGGTGGCTTTTAGTGGCTTCTGGTAGCTGTTGCTCGCTTCTGTTGGTTTTTGCTGGCTTCTGTTGGCTTTTGGTGACTTGTGTTGACTTTCGAAGGCTTCTGTTGGCTTTTGTTGCTTTTTGCTTTTGTGGCTGTTCGCTATCCTTGCTTTGCTTATGTGATGCAGGAAGGAAGAAAGGAAGGAGGGAAGGAAGGAAGGAAGGAAGGGAAGGAAGGGAAGGAAAGAAGGCAGCAAGAAAGGAAGGAAGGAAAGAAAGCCCGATGTCTGGCACGAAAGGATACCTGGAGACGTCCGTCTCGCACGGAGAAACAACTATCATTTTGGAGACACGAGCCTGAGGGAAGGCGCCCACAACAGGACCAGAAAAAAAATACCAAAAAAAACGGAAAAAATTCCTTAAAAAAAAACGCGGCCTCATCCAATTATGAACTCCTGCCACACCGGTGGCCAAGATTAATCCTCCCACATGTCGTAGACCGGAGAAAACCATCCTCACCAGGTCGGATGTCAGGGCGGACCGCAAAGCCCCTCAATCCAAACATCCAAACAATTGGACCATATTGGAACGTTCCGAACTTGAAACGATGCAAATGTTCATAAATTGTCACACCGAACTGGATCGACTTTTGGACGAGTCTGCCCTCACCGAAGTGTTCGGTGGGTGTTTCTCATCCGATGCATCGGCCCGTCGCAGCCTTAAAGCCGGCGAAGCCGACAAAGCCTGAGGTCATGCACGCAAATTTGTTGCTCTTTAAGTTGCTTGGCATTGCTTGGCCGTATGGCGTCATTGTTTTGGTGCTGGTTTTCGATTTTCATGATGACCCTTTGATGATGCATCCAGGGGTTGACCCGAATTTTCGAACAGATGAGGTGACGCAAATGAGGTCAAATGAGATTGTTTCGTTTGATCGTATGAGAGTACTCAGGCTCTGCTGGTTTGTATGGGAGTCGATTGAGAGGAGCAGACTTCGGGGCATTTCGGGATGCAAACCGCCGGCCGATCCCGCTTCAGACTCCGGGCAGATCCGGGCGGTCATTCAACAGGCCAGAGCGGCCAGAACCGCTCAGGACAGTCATCGCCGGCGACAGCTGGGGAAGGATCGCTGTCCCTGTGATCCAGGCGAGAAATGTCCGATGTTGCGAGTGTTTCAACATATTTTGACATTTGAATTTCAGATATTGTATTTACTTAGTGACAATGCTATATAAGAGATTGTAGAAGTAAGATTAAGTAAATGTTAAACGTACACGTGGGTTGATAAAAATGCCCAGGGGAATTGCAGACCATCCTGGTACCAACGCCCTTGTTACTGCACATCGGTAGAGCTTAAAGCTTAACACAGAATCTGGGTCGATTGCTTTGCGACAGCACGTTTTCTCTATATTACGATATTCTGAACCATCCTGCTATTAGCCCCAACCGCCGAGAAGCACTATTCATCATTTTTCTCTTCCATTGCGGGTAAGCGTGTGTTTGGATCAAATAGCTGCCAGACATGCTTAGGGAGGTCATTGTAGGGCGAGAAAGCCATTGAGGAGTGTGTTGTGGCATCCGTAACTTGTTTGTGAGGTTTGCAGTGTTTGGGCCAATGTGCCAGAAATTGCACATGTCAATTCACGGACTAGATTCTGATGAGGACGCTACTAGGGGCTCCTGGCATTACTAGGATGCTACTAGGAACAAAGGGCATCGCTACTAGGAGCAATTACGCTACTAGTATAGTAGCTCCTGGCATCTTGGAATTGAACGTGCTCCGGAGCACGCTGTTTTGGCCGGCCCAGCCGTTTGCAGGCATATCCCGCCACTGGCATCATTTTTGTGGGATCTCAGCTCACGCTGGTCTTCGGAGCAGCTTGGCCGACGCATGCCGACGCGGAGCGGGTGCGTCGAGCGGGTGCGTCGATGAGTTCGCCTCGTTCACCTCTTTGGAACAGCTGTGCGAGTGAGCCGCTCCTGCAAGGTCCATCCCAAGAAGCTTTACCATGCCAAATCCCATTCAGGAAGCACGGACGCTACGAACGGGGCTCCTGGCCTTACTACTAGGAGCAAAGGACGCTACTAGGAGCAAAGGGCATCGCTACTAGGAGCAAGAATCTACTTTGGCTCAACCAGACGAGGAAGTGTCCATTTAGGAAAGGGCTGCCAGTCCCACAATCGTAAGCGGGGTGCATAAGCTGAGTCGCACCGCAGGTCCTGCAGCTGGTGGTGGCCGTGGTGGTTGACACCTTTGCGGAAAAGCGCGAGCGAGATGTGCTCAACCGTGCAGAGGCGGATGGCTTCCCGATCGCTCCGTTCGGTTCGCTCAACCTCTTGCTCCGTTCGGTTCGAGGATGCCCTTTGTTACTAATAGCTTCTTGCTCCTAATAGCGATGCCAGGAGCCCCTAGTAGCTTCTTGTTACTAGTAGTACGGCCCTTTGTTACTAGTTGCGAACATTGCTGGACATATGAAAACTAATGGCGATGGCCTCCACCTAGTAGCGTCCCTAGCTACTCGTAGCCTCCTCTTGTTACTACTAATGCCAGGAGCTACGTTCGTAGCGTCCGATCGCTCCTAATGGCGATGTTGGGTTCTATGTTCTTTGAGTTCTGTTTGACACTAGATGCTAGCATGGCCTCCGAATCCCAGACACTGTCTTCTTTGCTGTGAGGGATGTCGTGGGATGTCACCAGAGGAATCCGCCCAACCGTGAGGAGATGGAGAATGACATCGAGGAGGACAAAAGGTTCCTCCAGAGACATGGCTTGACATGCTTGAACGCTGTAGGCGTGGGAAGGGCATGGTCATATACTTTTGAGACCACATTCTTAATGAAATTGGACTCGAAAGGATCTCATTCCGGGATGAGATGACACTGGGCAAACAATCTAGCTGCCCAGCCCAGCACTGTGAATCCAGATCGGCGCATCATGTGACGTGTAATTTGTATGTGCCACAAGCACTACGGCAGGCCGTCAAGTGATTCCCCCACATGAAAGATGCACAGCATTGCACAATAGTCCGAAACATGCACCAAAAAGAACGCGTTTGGCGTAACACATTGAACAGTTGTTCCAGTGGTCCTAGCCTCGGCTCAGGAAGATCTTCGACCGGGTTGACGAAGATGGAAGTGTCTCGCTCGAAACGGCCAAGGGCGATTCCGGAGCACTCGAGACGCCCAAGAGATCCATTCCTCACTAAGACGCCTCAAGAAGGTGAGGAAGACTGTATAGTTCAATGAATGTGCGACCCGCCAGCGTCCCAAGTTCTCGGGGATGTGCGACCCGCTGGCGTCCCTTGGTTGAAGCCGGCGGGGTCCTCCATCGTCATCCCGAAACCAGGTGGGGAGCTCACGCTGGAGGAGCTGATCGACGGAGCGAACAAGGTGGCGCAACAGAACCGAGATTTGCTGAGTGGATCCAAGTGGGGAGGTTTCAAACACCGTTTCTTTTTTCCCGTTTCACATCGTTTCACGCAGTTTCTTCACCTGCGTTTTCATGCGAATGTTCACATCCCGGGCCCCGTTGGGGCCCAACGGGGCGGCTTTCTCCGACCACGGCGAAGACGACTCTGAGGATCCGGAGTTCCAAAGCCGACTGCGGGTGATGGACATCGATCAGGCTTGGATGAAGCACGGTGGAAGCTTAGCGTCTTTTTGAGAATATCACTTCTGCGTGACCAAATCGGGAAAAATAGGTTGTTCTTCCAGGTCTGAGGCGTTTCAAGGGCTTGGGAATTCAGTTTGTGAGGTTCTTGATCAAGAATCATTGTTCATGGATTTCTCCCCTGGTTGAACCTATCAAAGCCCCACTAGTTGAGAGAGACTAGGCTGGTGCCAGGCATTTTAGAGGGCATTTG